TAATGACACCCCGTGCTACCAACTCAGCCGCTGGTTGTCGCTTCCAACATGCCCGTTGATGTCCGTTGCTCCAACTCCACTTGGGACATCCCGTTGTGTTTGTGCCTTCTGGTGTAGTGTAACCATCGCCATTGCCTGACCTCCTTCGTCTTCCCACTGCTGATGTGTGCGTATCGCATGACAGGAGCTCGTTTAAAGCCGAGTAGGCCTAAGGAGGGGGGGGGGGAGGCTTGGCACCGGTTTAGATCATTTCCATCGATGTCATTCGTGGCCGGGAAATGAACTCGGGCGCTAACAGCACCTTCCTCAACAAGTCTTTGTTGAGGAAGGTCTTCGTGGCCTCCTCTCGACAGATTTTGTTACGAGCTTGCTTCATCGGACGCTTGTTGTGCAGTCTACCAAAGTGGCTTGCACAAGTGTTTTTATTATTATTGTTGTGAGAGCGATGCCACGGGATTCGCGTGTCGACTCGACGCGGCCTCCTTTTTAGTTATCGCAAGTGCACATCTGTCCCTGGCGCTGCGTGTCGTTTTTTACGACGTGCGACCGCGTTTACGACGATGCGTCATGCGTCGAAGCTGTTGCACCAATGTATTAATAATTTTTTAAAAAAATTGTGGACATAACGCAATTTTTACTTATTTATTGTTTTTATATTTTACCACCGTGGACGGACAGGTCGTCTTAGAGCTGTGCGGGACCACGTGGTGGGGGTAGCAGAGGCCAGGACGGAAAATTCCGTCATTGCATAGGGTGGTCCAGATGCCTTGTGACTCCCCCCCCCCCCCCCCCTCATTTAATTATCTAAAAACGTAATATTATTTTAAAGTCAGGTTTAATTAAACATTAAAAATACGATCAAAGAGGGGGGGGGGTGGGGGGGGTGAATGTTAAAGGGTCAATTAATTGAGGGTCACAAGACATCTGGACCACCATGTACTGCACACGACTTCTCTGCTTCCAGGAGTTCGCCTTCGACAATCCGTACTGACCAGCGAGGTGAAGTATGGTGAAATATAACCCCCACGGCCCGCACAGCGTGGGCATACAGCCGAGATTAGCCCTCGCCGAGCTTACATTGACAAGCAAAATTCCCTCTCCTACTCGCTCCGACATTAACATTAGCTGCCCAGCCCATCTCTAAACCTTTATAAAACAGCCGGCCTCAGCAAATTCCCCCTCTTTTTCACCTGAAGACGATTGCATGTGTTGCGATCGAAACGTGGTGATTTTGATTTTTTTAAATATTTTTTTCAATCTACGTGGCTTTATCCGAAAGACCCAAACGAATATTAATTTCAAAGAATAGGAATGGACTTCTGATAATACACCGCATTTATAAAACCCATCCCCTTTGTCAATCTGCTGCTGGATGAAAAACTCCCGATGCCATGTCGTTCATGCGGTTGCTTTCGCCATACTTCACCACGCTGGTCAGTGTGGGTTGGTTAAACGGTTAGAGGAGAAGCTCTGGTATCACGTGCTTCTGGTGTTACATTTCGCCGGGAATCGAGCTCCGTGCGTTGCCCGAACCACTGCGCCACCGCTCGACCGCAACATCTGCATATGATGTGCACGGAGTAAAATATATATATATTTTAATTTATATATATTTTTTTGTATCTATTACACACCATGTGCGATTCGATGCCCCTATTTTTGAGCAGCATAAGCATCGATGCATTAAGCTCACGCATACCTCTGTTTACACTCGGGAAAATACTCTCGACTAATAATTACAATAACCCCCCCCTCCTCCTCCTCCTCCGCCTCTGATCTCTGCACCTGATGGGGTTCAGTGATGACGTCGCCCTGCTGCTCCATTTAAGACCGGAAGCAGGTGGATTGCTTCGCTAGTCTGGCAAATCGCCCGATGATGCTGGATGTAATTACCAGTGAAACGTCGTACTCAAATTGTAAATATTGTGGGTTTACTCTTCAACACACCGGAGGGCTGAAGTATTAACTAATGTGCGTTTTAATATGATTTTTCCCCTTTTTTCTGGCAACACAATACCTGCAGTCAAAATGCAAAAAAAAAATACTATGATAATATATGCATTGTCCTTGAAACTGATTGGTCCACACCAAGGGACGGCTTTCTTTTGAGCCTCGACCCAATTGGTGCTCGACCAGATGACGCCAAAAGGCGTACAGCTCAAAGACAATGCACTATCAAAGTAATGAGGGCTCGGGGTGAGCATCTACATCATTATACCTCCTTTGCCAGTACCAAAATGTAATAATAGGGGTTTTTCCCTTTTTTTTTCTGGCAACAAAACTGAAACCTTTTTTTACGAGGATTCATGTCTGCATTAACCACAATACCTGCAGTCAAAATGCAAACAAAAAACATACTATGATAATATATGCATTGTCCTTGAAACTAATTGGTCCACACCAAGGGACGGCTTTCTTTTGAGCCTCGACCCAATTGGTGCTCGACCAGATGACGCCAAAAGGCGAAGGAGGTCTAATGATGAAATATGCGTTTTGTTTACGTGACAAATCCCTTACTAATGGGCTATGCCGGGTGGTGGAGGGTTACGACACATATATACTTGCGCGATTTAACCCAAAAGCCTTTATTATGGACAAAATGTTCCTCTTGATGATAACAAAGACGCTCGTGAGCCAACGTAAACTAACGATTATGAACTCAGCTCCAAACATGTGTTCTGAACAGAAGCTGCTAGGAATCAAAGTGTTGACGCGCGTAGACAAATAGCTCTGTGGACAAGCAAACTGAGTCTAGCTCCACTTCATCAGCGTACGTAGCAACAAATGATTGGGCAGAGACTTTCATCCGAAGAGATAGCAAGCGAGTGGGCCCCGTTCCTCAATGTAATGTAAACAATTAAGGTATAACTCTCCTGTGTTCTCGCCTCGTAAAGATGTCGCTACATCTCTGAGAATGCTTGCTCACGCCACTGCTGGCGGAGGAGTCTCACTACTCGCGACAGCTGAAGAGGGAATTTGGTCTACTCTTCCACGCTGGTCAGATGAGAAATGTTCAGAGTGGAAACACCTGGCGATAAATGCTTCCCTAGACTAAACGCAGTTGTTTTGTCGTTTTGGAAAATGAATTCAAACGAAGATTGTACTGATGGGTTGATACATTTAACGTGATAAATAGTTCTATTGTTCAGCCATTTGTCCATCAACTACTGGAGGACCATATTTCACCACACATGTCAGTGCGGGATGGGGAAGAGGGGACCTTAAGATCGATTTAAACATCACTCGCCCTTCATTCTAGCCATGGCACAGTGTGCTAGCCACTGGACCACATGCATTAGCCAGAAAATTAAAATACACAACACATCATGCAACTTACATTGTTGATAATTGTTCTGATATTCTGAGTCTGAATTTCTGTGTAAATGTGTCTAAAAAGAATAATGTCCTTTATCCACAAATGCCTCAACGAGACCTGGATTTTGAGTGGTAATTTTAACCAGTTCCGTTAATTAGTGTTTGGCATGTGGGAGAAAACTGGATTACCCAGAGAAAGCTCTGACACCCAAAAGCTCCACGCAGATTTACTTTAAGAATCCATTGCTGTAGGACGATCTCCTGGCCACCCCGTAGCAGGTCGCTCTCGCCCCCCCCCCTCCTCAACAGCACCGGTAATGCCCAGGCAACCTCCCGCCAAAGTGCTAACCAGGCTCAAAACTTTTTTCGATATAAAGCTTTTGTGACTGCAGGGATTCATATTCTTGGTTCTTTCGGTAAAGTCACCACGTAGAAAGGAAAAAAAAACAATACGATTCTCACGACGTTTCGATTGCAACACGAAGCAATCATCATCAGGTGTGAAAACCACAGCAATAATTTTTTGAAAAAAAATAGAAACGTCGTGAGAATTTTATTGTTTTATTTTTATGATTTTATTATTTCCCTTCTACGTGGCTTTACCGAAAGAACCAAGAATATAGGCTCAAACCTGCTGAGCTTCGGAGGTCTGACGAGAACGGGCCACCGTTCTGGGTGATTTGCTCGCAACGTGTTTGTGTAAAGTTTTAAAATCCGTGTCGGGTGCTTTCTCTGAAACTCCACTGTTGACGTTAAGTAAATACAAGGTGGGTGTGTGGGGGGAGGATGGGGGTTGCAAAACAACAAAACGAAATCCATGTTTCTACAATGGTGCAATGTCAAAGCCTCTGCTTGCTCAATCGGCAACGTGACTCGCCAGCAGGAGCGCGTCTTACGAGGACGGCGAGCCAGAGGGCAGCTCACTGCGTGCCTCGTGGGTGCCTCGTGCGTGCCCCGTGCGTGCCTCGTGCGTGCCCCCTGCGTGCCCCGTGCGTGCCTCGTGCGTGCCCCGTGCGTGCCCCGTGCGTGCCTCGTGCGTGCCCCGTGCGTGCCCCGTGCGTGCCCCGTGCGTGCCTCGTGCGTGCCCCGTGCGTGCCCCGTGCGTGCCCCCTGCGTGCCCCGTGCGTGCCTCGTGCGTGCCCCGTGCGTGCCCCCTGCGTGCCCCGTGCGTGCCTCGTCCGTGCCCCGTGCGTGCCCCGTGCGTGCCTCGTGCGTGCGCATTTGCCACCAACGCCCACTTCCGGCACCGTCAATCGGTTTTTTTTCATCTTTAACGGCGAGTCGAGTTTGGGAACTCATTTCAGGAACAAATATGTCGTCGGCAAGGAAGAGCTGGGTGAGCGTAATGAAGCAAAAGCACTAGTTCACACGATCCGTCGAGGGCGGTTGGTGGGGTGGGGCGGTCAAGATTCGCTTCGGAGACGTGGGGGTATCTTGCCAGTTAAGTCATTTGCCTCGGAGGTAGCGGTGACGCATTTTACTAGGGAGTGTGGAACGCGTCCCCGAAACTCAGGGCTGAGGGAGGGACGTCCTCTTCCAGCGTCCAACGCGACAAACAGCGAGCGAGGAGGTCACCATCGTCGACTCAGGCCGCAAGGCAGAGAGCGAGGAGGGAGAGGTGGGGGGGGGGATGCTGGAAGGGAAGGATAAATGGATGCCATATGTAAAACACTTTACCCAGGTCGTTTTGAGCCTTGTGCTTTGTTAACAGATTTATTGATGGGTGCAATGTGCAGGGGGAGTTTTTTTCCAGACGTTATTATGTTTTGTTTTAATGCTTCTTTGAGCTACGCAAAAAAAGAACACAATATCAAGCAGCTGCAATGCACGATAACATCTGGTGGTCAGTTTAGTTTGTGTATTGAAAAAAACAAAACGCAAAAGAATTCGCGGCGAGCGTTTTTTTGTTCGCTATTAATTTACTATCGTTTATTTTTTTACGAGTGTATAACAAACACGCACTTGCTCTCACTCGCCGGGAGAATAAAAATGATGTCGACGCAATGAAAGTTTTTTTTTTATTATTATCAATCAATAAAAAGGGACCCAAAGTGAAATATTGCCGAAGAAAATGAAGACGTTAACGCGCTTGGGGTCACCGTGTCTTTGTTTTAGGCTTGCGCGTGCCAATGGAGCCCCTGCAGATGTTGGGCGCCTCTCATCCCACGCCTCCTCACTTCTCTCCCTGCTCCTCCACTCCGCGAGATGCCCTCGGCAAAACTGTGCAGACAAACGGTGAACAAGCACTGAGAGAATGAAGTGGTGTTTGATTTGTTTGTTATTCAATTCAAGGTGTTCACCAACGATACTGTAATTGTTCACTTTGCGTCACACGGAGGTTGGCAAAACAACCACACTGTGATCATGTATCTACCTTGGTACAGTATAGGCATGCAAGACATTCACTTGATATTGGCCAATTTTTTTTTTACAATAGTTTGATATCCGTTGGCAGTTGTGCTCTATCCGCTGCTGATGAAGGCCTCGCAAGGCTGTCACGATCTTTCACAGTCACGCGATGCCACAGTCCGCCTCACTCCCACTTTGATAATTATAGTCCATATCACCGCTTCACCTCGATGGTGGTTGTCCTCTGATGTGCGTTTTTCCCATACTTTAGCTGCCGGTCTGCCACTAGTCTTGTCCATAATGCCTTACAGTGACGTGTTCTATCCAAGCTCCCTTTTTTATTTATTCACATGCAATTCAATGTCTATGATTTGCATTTGTTCGTGTGCCACTCTTTCTGTCTCTTGTAAGGCATTCTCAGAATGCACCATGCTCGTGCTTTCCTGACGTTTGCAAATACTCAGAATGCTACGGAATCTTCTCACAATTCAATTTAACGTTACGACTAAAACACCTCTCCAGCTTCCAAAGCCTGACACCCAACCTTTAACCCTAGCCATTAAGCGTAACCTTAACCTTTAAGTCTAACCCTAACCTTTGATCCATAATCATAACCATCGCCCCTTAACCTCTAACCCCGCTCTGCTGTGCATCCTCAGCCCTCTCAAATAGCAACTGCTTGGCTCTGCACGTGCGTCAAGTCGACTTCACAGCGTGCAAATGGAGCTTGTCCACGCGCGCGGGTGACTTCAATAATTTTACAAGTCACGACGGAGCGAGGGGAAGAAGGCAAAGCGTGTCACAGAATGACAGTGGTTCGGGCCGAGTGTTATACTACCACAGTTGCTCGCAAGAGCGCTGGCGAGAATTGGGAGTTGAGGTGTCAGAGACCAGTACACCCGATCTCAGAATGAGAATAATTATTTAAACTGGGGGAATCCGATGAGCTATGAAGCTCTTTCTTATTTACAGATGTACAGTCGCGGCAGGTCTGAGTGTTACAAAAACAAACAATACAAAAACACACTATGAGTGTCAAATATATGAAAGGTTAACAAATAACTAAACACATTTGTAAATAAAACTCAACTATTCCATATTCTTGGTTCTTTCGGGAAAGTCACGTAGAAGGGAAACAATAAAATAATAAAAATATAAAACAATAAAATCGTTAAAAAAAATAAAAAAATATTGTTAAATAATTTTATTATTTTATAAAGTTGTTTTTATATTGTTTTATATTTTTATTATTTTATTGTTTCCCTTCTACGTGACTTTACCGAAAGAACCAAGAATATGAATTCCTGCAGTCGCGAAAGCTTTGAATCAAAATTCAACTTTTTTCGTTTAGCTAAGCAGGTTGGAGCCGGCATAGCGCTTCGACGATTGACCACCGTGCGTTATTATCTTTGCAGTTGTGGGGCACGCCTGTGGAGGTGAGCTTGGTGGATCACACAAATGCTGTGAACTTCCTTCCCGGAGGCATCAAGGTGCCATACCTTGGCTTGTCAGGAGAAGGCGGTGCGGCAAATGTGAATGCCACCTGTTCCATATCACAATGCGAGGGTCATCTCCGAGAATGTTGGTTAACCTCCCGCACGTAGACGCTCGTTGATTGGCCGATAACACCTTTATATAGAGAGGACTGCAGAGCTGGGACCGGGGTGGGGGGGTATTATATTGTGCCGACTCACCACCTGCCTGCTCGTCTGTGGTTGCTCCTGCTCCTGCCTCTGAGTCGTTCTCTCTCTCTCTTCGAGAGTGAGTGGAAGCCGTGCAGCGGTGGCGGCGCGTTGCAAGTTCAATTCATGATTGGTATAATGCAGGCTGCCATAGGCCACTGTAAGGCTCTGTCGGGGGCATCACAGGCAGCGCAACAAAATCCACTGCTGGATTGTACTTCTACGCACTCACATTTACACTGCCGGTCTTCACCGCCCCGCGCTGACCAAGCGTGCCGAAGTATGGCCAAATAGTCCCCATGACCTGCACAGACACGGACAGGCCCTCATCCAGCAGTGGATTGACAAGAGGGCTGTTAGTGATACGTCTGAACAAGTTTACACATTTAGAAAACCTTCCGGGGCAGGGAATCTTAACGATCGAAACGTCAACTGGGCCACGTTGGGAAAACAAAAAAATCTCTAGAGTCCCTGAAGTGTATCGAAGGGGAGAAAGATGTGATGGGTGCTTTCTGGCCTCCACTTTCAGGAAGATCCAGTCCGTAGAGAGCCTCCGTTATGTTTCCTTCCCAAGACTTTTAGGAGGGGTCCACAGGATCCGCATGGTCAAATAATTTCCACAACCCACCACGCGCTAATCCTGATAGTGTTAGAGGGGCTAGAAAGATTACTGTAGTCAAAGTTGCCTGTGGTCAAGTCACTCTCATCAGATCTTAAAAGCTAAGCAAAATGTGAGGCTGTATAGCGCTTGGATGAGCAGTTGCCACACATGCCAGGCTATTTAGTGGGTAGTGGTAGGCAATGCAGTAAATCCACTTCTATGGCCGCACGTTTAGGATCCCTGCCTTGACCAACGCACACCCCCACAACCGACACAGCCGCATCCAGCAGTGGATTGACAAATGGCTGATCAGGTACCATGCAGTTGAGACAAGTGTGTGCTCTAGGTGTACTAGGCATGTCTTGGCATTGGATGCAGGTAGAGTGTGCGTTGTATGGGGGAGGAGTTGGAGGGGTGTTGTGGGATTGAGGGGTGGGGGGCACAGGGGTAGGGTTAGGGTGGGCGTTTATTTACGGCAGTGTTTGCAGACGTTAGCCCAGTCTGCCTCGCCACACAGGCCACGCTCATGCTGTTCAATGATGAACGACCGTTAGTGCAGTTCATTTCGGGCCCGCCTGATTTATTAGCCAAGCAGGGCCGCCACTGGCAGGTCAATACTTTATTGGAGTGCACAATGTCAGCGCCAAGGTCATCGCACGTTCTACACACACCGACGCACCACCGCGTCGCTTCCCCGCATCCTCCCTCCACCCGTAACCCCCCCACACACACAACCACACAAAGGCAAAGATGCCCTGTATAGCCTTACATAGACATTTGGGGCAGGTGCACCGATGAAGGCCGGCACAGCACACGAGGGGGTGAGTGGCCAACACCACGCCCGGCCGCCTGTGTCTCCCTACTGGCGATATTTACACATCGCACCGGGTACTCATTTGAGGCTGAGTCGACCTAGGGGAGGCCCAGGACCGGTTCAGATAGTCGTCACTGGTGTTGGCCGTGAGCGGAAATCGAACCCGGGTCGCCAGCTTCGTAGCGCAGTGCGCTAACCGCTACACTACAGCTCCCCACACAGACACACGCGCACAGCCACACACACACGGACACACACAGCCACACACACAGACACACGCATGCTGCATGCGTTCTGCCGTCAGCGCCTACTCGCCAACACTTTTGCGCACACGGCGGCAGCGATAAAGCAAAGCAACTTTAATCACATCCCAGGCTTGATGCGCTGTAACTTTCGAGGCGCTTCAACAGCAACAACAACAAAATAGGAAGGGAAATAAAGACAGAACACGTGGCATTCCGACGGATCGCTGCCGTTCCTGGTGATACCGTAAATTCGTGTGTAAGCGCTAATGTTTTTGTTTGTGTAGCCTTGTGCCACTTAACGTGCGCTCTTTTTATTTGTAACGGGTGCAAGACTCTGCATGCGTGAGCGAAGGCGTCAGAGGTTCGCGGATTCCAAATCCAGGAGCGCAGCGGTTAATGTTACTTGTGCTGGAGAGCGCAACGCGACCACGAGATGGGTTAAGATACTACGCCGAAAAATGTACCGCCTATAAAGGCTCAACTTTTTCACTTGTGCCGACCAATTACGTACAGTCGCGCATGTGTGTGTGTGCGCCCACACACACACACGGACACACACGATCCTCCTCTTAAGTGCCGAAAATAAAAAAACCCCAAGATGAGATCAAGGAACCCACAGTTAGTGCTGTACTGTATAAAACTATTGATTTTTGTTCCTTCCCTCGCTCTATCTCTCTGAGCAAGTTTGAGAAGGTTGGAAAGGTGAGTTAGAAAGGTGGTGTTGAGGGCGGAGGCGGGAGAGGGGTGGGGAAGGAGAAGCTGCTGAGCAGCGGGAATTATTTTGGGAAAGTTTGTTGGCAGTGGAAGGTTGGGAGAGGGAGAGAGAGAGAGAATAAAAGTTGCTTGTGAATTTGTATTCTTAGGAACATGCGTGCCCGGGCAATGTGTACCTGGCCCATTTTTTATGCCTTCGACACTTCAGATCCATAACGGCAGCGGTAAGGGAAACAATCGATGGCAACTCTATTAATGTGAAATAAACTGTCAATTACGCGCCTGGTGCCAATGAGTGTTGTTTTTTGTTGTTATAAGTTTCCTCGTTCCGATTCCCATTTTTTTCTCACCCACTTTCGTTTTAAAATTTTCCTCTCTCTCTCTCTCCTCTCTCTCCCCTTCTTCGGTTTATTTTTCTTAAACTCTCGACCCTGTGTCACGCAACACAAACAAACCGCCACAGTGGTCGATTTCTGATTATGAAGTGCCTTGAGCTGTGTGGCAATAGGTTTTATTGCGTCTCAATTGCAAGAGAGAGGTGGTGGGGAGGGGAGGGGGAGGGATGATGGAGGGGGAGAAACGCGATGGGGGTGCGGTTGCTTTGTAAATGGACTCTGTTACAGGTATGAAACAACATGTGCCTAAAGCAGTAAGGGTCTGGTTTCTTTGGCCTGGGTTAGGAGAGATGAGGCAAATTGGATCGTTTCAAACTAAAAAAAATAAATAACTAAATAAATCTCACCGCGGGGTCCCACCAAATGCCACGTCGCCTCCGGCAAAAAACTGACAATTATCAAAATTGCATCTAATCACTGTCGTAGTCCAATTTCCTTTACTAATAAATTAAGGTCACATGTAAATTTAAAGCGTAACACATGGGTGTTTTATCTCCACTCCGTCGGTATGAAAGGTTATTACTATTGCAATGTAGGGTTTGGATAAAAAAATGCACGGTCAAATAATTATAATCTGAACTAATGCACGTAAGCCACAAGGATATTATTTTTTTTGTAGGTAAAAAGTAGACCGCCTTTGACCATATCATCGATGCACCTGATCTTGCTAGATCCTCAGAGGCTTAGCAGAATTGAGTCTGTATAGAACTTGGGTGGGTTACAGGACAATGAGGAGGGCAGCAAGGTGCAGTGTGATACAAATCCGCTGTTGTACCGTACTTCCATGCTCCCACGGCTATGTTCAGTGAATTTACCAACCCGCACTGACCAGCATGCCGATCTAAGGTGAATGAAATCCGATTAACCGCAACAGCCCGAGAATGCCCCTTATTCAGCAATGAGAGCTGCATGTTGTACAAAGTAGACTGATACATATGAACCAGAATAAATGGCGACTTCGCCGCGAACCACCTGGCACGGATCATTCTGTTGTGATGTCGTCCCAGCGCAGCGAGGACGAATGCGCAGACGAAACACAACTTTGATTAGCGCATCGCGTAGAGCTCGTCGAGAGGAATAGATTGCCGTGTAGTTCGCCTTCAACAGACATAAAATGACGTCGCAACGCAGTTTATGCGAGAGCCGGGGGGCTTATGGGACCTCGGGGTCCCGCCATAAGGTTCATATGACTTTGCTATACGTGTGTAAATAATCAAATGAGCATACGTATGCAAACTTCACTTACGATGGCTGATTGCGGTTGCCTGTGCATTGTAGGTTTGAGAAACTGCTGGAAATTCGAACACGGCGGTCGTTTCGTGTCGTCTGCCGGCGTGAAGGTGCGCGCAACACATTGTCGGTTGGCCCTGATCGAGGAGGCTTTGGCCAACTGTTTCGTCGTGCTGCGCAGTTTCTCACGAAAGTCATCAACGCCGAGCCAAGTTGAGCCCCTTCCCGATTTTCACGCACCCAGGAGGGGGGGAGAGGGCCGAGCGCGTTCCGTGGGGCGTTAAGCGAAAGCAAGGGTTTACGACGGGAGGGCCTGGGCCTAGCCATCCGTCTCCCGCCTTCATAAAGTCCTCAGCCTTGTATCTCACCCAACTTATCGATTCCACATTATCATTTGTCACGGGTCGCACTAAGTCAAGGGGAAAATACAGACCTTATTTTTTTGTTTCCGACCACCCCCATCCCATCCCACTCTCTGAGAACACAGGCTGTGTGGGAAGCAAATTATTTGTCGTTTCTTTTGGGGGTCCCCCGTGATTGCGCCTTGATTAAAATAGAAGCATCGTGTTATCCGTAGCAAGGTCGCCTAGTGCACGAGATGATCTAGACTCTAGAGTCAATCAAATTTCAGGTAAATTGTACATTAAGCCTGAGTCGAATGAATATATTTGTATATTTTGTTGGGTTTACATGGTGCGCAAATTTAGGTTTTTATTATGGAAAAAGTTAAATAGATAGACTGGTATTCTAGGTTGGGTCCCGATGAGATTGACTTTCATAAGAGACAATTATTTTTTATAATCGATAACATTACCAGTTGCAGTAGTTCAAAGGCATGGTGGTTTGCACACTGCGCTAATAATCCAATGACATAGGTTCGATTACTGGCACGGCTAACGTCAGTGGCGAGTGATGTCTGAGCTGGCCCTGGGTCCACCAACCCGCACTGACCAGTGTGGTAAAGTATGGTCACACGACCCCCCCATCATTTACATGCCCTAAGTAAAGCCTTCATGCAGTCGTGAATTGACAAGGGACTGTAAATAATAGCGAAATGGACCGTCCCCAAAGATGCGGTATAAAATCATATCTGTTAAATTTGAAAATGTTTTTCATTTGTTTTAAATAAAACTCATGTTAGTCACTTCCTACGTAATTGTTAGTCATTAAGTTCATCCAGAGCACGGCTGAATTTGGCTAGGATGTTTAAAATTGGTATTTTAATGACTAAACAACATGCGGAAAACCTCAGGAATCATAGTTTCGTTATTTAAAAATTCTACACAAATCTATTATATTTTCGCCAAATTACACATTGTGTTTGAATGTGTGTACATGTATGTATCAACGTTGTTTTGTGTTTCCGCTAAATGGCTCAGAAGAATTCCTTCCCGAAAAAGCAAAAGCGCTGGCAGCTCAAATTTGTGATCGCACGACCATCATCAACCTTGATTCGTCAAATTGCGTGAAATTTTGCAGGTGGACCTCGTGAGGCGGTGTGTCCTGGGGGTTAAAGAGGGGCTCGGGCGAGCGTTAGTACCGGTCTCTTCGAATGAGTGGGGTTAAGAGTGGGGTCAGGGGTTGGAGGGTGGGTGGGGAGCAAGGGGATGGTGAAGGCAGGGGGGGGGGAGGGGGGCTCATATACCCCAAGCCTGTCCGAATTGACCCCGGTTTTTAATTTGGGCCGGGGCGGCACAGCAGTCTGGGATATGGGAGCAAGCTTCGGTTTCAGTGTAATGACCATGGTTAGGGCAAGCTCACTAATTACACTATCAATTTCACGGGAATGCTACACGGGCCGTCGGTGTGGAGTTGTGGGCCGACGCGAGGGTTACGGGGTGGGTGGGTGGGTAGGGGGGACTTCTGGTCAGGCAGTAAGGTTACGTCAATGGCTCCTTCCAAGAGTTATTTCTACAACTCATTTCAGTCTTCCGTGCCTCGCGATCGGCAAAAGGCGTCACGAGTCGTGTCGCTGTGACGCGGATGAAGACCAGGGCTGGCGAGCGAGAGGTCATTGTTGTAAAGGTGTTGCGGCAGCATCGCTCGGCAATTTTGCGTTTTGAGTGGATTAAAAATCTCGAATGTGTGGCGATTAAACATTTTGTTGAGATTGCTAAAGCGATGCGTAAGAGTTGGGAGTTGCGGGGGGGGATATGCATCGCAGCATGTGTGAGCTCGCATGGAAATTTGTAAGAAATTCACAAGATTGTAAAATATCCGGAATTTATGTATTGTAACAAATGAATAATCACACATGCGTGCTGCTGTGTGTGCACGCATAACATGTATATTTATATCCACTTAGCGAGTTTTTTTCCTCTCTCTCTCTCGGAAAATGTCAATTTTCCGTGCTTTCTATCCCCCCATGATGGTGGAAATGTTCATCCTAGTCACTTGGGGTGTGTGCACTGAGTGTTCGCACTGTCAGATCCTTGATTGCAGTGCCAAAGCAATAAATCATGACACTTGTAATAAGCACATGTCAGCCTTCAAATACATATCCGTTTTTTTTCTCGCTCTCTCGTCTCAAAATTCCGGAGGAATATCACCTCGGAATGAAAGTTAAGGCCAACGTGATGATATTAACGGGCGGATTGTGATAGTTTTGCAATGCGCGTTGTGTTCGAGTGCGTTTTCTTGGATTGTAGAGGCAACTTGTATTTGTGGATCCGCGCATTACTCTGCGGGGCGTAGTGGCACAAAGACTTCACACTGCAGTGGCACAAAGACTTCACACTGCTGCTCTATCCAGCCGTCTCCCCACACGTCGGTTTTCCCTGCAGCCTGTAATGATTGCTTTCGCCACCTTTACATTCGAATTTGATTTCACTGCAAGGCACCACAATGTGATGAATTCTCATGCCTGTATTGGCTGTTGAGGTCACGTGAACTATTTTGACTACAACGTGGTATATACAAATAAATAAAAAATAATTATCAAAGGGGTGCACATGCAATTCGACACGTGGATCACGACTTGTGAGAATGCATTTTAATCGATGAATCAATCGTTACATCTCACTGCACACTATCGTTTTGTCTCCCACACGCATTAGGCAAAGAGGAATTGGCCCAACATCACAAACAGAGAGTTCTCCCGAAAACGATCTTGAGGCTCGGTACATTTTCCTTTGGTGAAACATATTACGCATTATTAGAGATGCATTCTTTTGTCTTCTTCATAATATCGTTAAGAATATTAAGAATATGGTATTTTGGTATTTGTGCCCTGCTCATAACAAGTATAGTGTGCTAGTGTGTGTTGGGGGTGGGGGGGAAGTGTTATTCTCCATGTAGTTTTACCCAATAAAGTAATTTGCAAGTAACCTTTTTGTTGTTGTTGTAAATGTGGACCATGACGCATGGCCTACTCCTCATCGAATGACGTCACGGCATCCCCGTGGTCAGCAAACGGCCTCGGTGTTAACCAGGGAAGCCCCTTGGGCTGAAACGAGGAACTTCTGCAGCGAGCAGGCAAATGCCCTCAATGCACGGCTTGAATTCTGACCTGATGCTTGAAACATAAGAGACAGATGGGGTCTCGCTTGAATTCTGACCTGATGCTTGAAACATTGATGCCGAGTTGATTTCATCCGCCCGGCAATGCGTGAACCACGGATGCTCGCACTTGATGCAGAGTCAATCGCGGCGAAGTCCTCGCCGTGTTACAGCGTCTTGGCTGAAACCTCCCGACAACAAGTAATGAGAAAGAACAAAAAACACACTTTGCACCTGCCATTTTCCTCAGGCGGTTTATACGCGCGTGCATCTCACGGGCACATCTGTAACAGGCATCAGGAAGCCTTTAAATTAGTGTTGAATTACCAGGTGCGCTGTGTAAGCAGACTATCTATATCGCCTGAACGTGTGAATAACTAGGATGGGCTGTTGGTGGGTTGGCGAGGTGAGAGCCGAGGTGAGTGAGTGGGTGTCGGAATCTCTACTCGAGGACAAAAAAAAAGCACAACAAAGCACAGCCTTCGTTGTCGTGACGATCCAACATCAGTGGGCACGCACAGACCCACACGAGAGAAAGGTTCATCATGAGCACGCCAATTTTAAATCGTTCCCCCCCCCTCCCCACCGCGTGTACAAGGCCCTCCGCAGCTGCCGCTGCTGCTGCTGCTGCTCGTAACCGCTGGCACCCCGATGCTGAGCACGAATCTCGAGGGGGCGAGACGGTGCCCAGAGCTGCTCATCTCTGGCCGCTTGCTGGGCACAGCCGAGGCTCGCGCGCCACCCGCGATGCCCGATTCGGCTCGCTTGTCCCGTGTCCGATTGGGCTCAGTTGGCGCCCGCTCTAAACCCCCCTTTGCCTCAGAGAGGCGCACCGCCGGGACTCGCTCTGTCGCGACGCTTGCGCCTTTTTGTTTTTGGAGTGGATAAGCGGGCAGCGGTGCCATCCCACTTCACCCCCCACCCCGCGCCTGCTCCCCCCTTTGACGAGATCCTCACCTGGTCCCGGCGTGGACAGCACGCAGGACATTCATAGAAGACACGTGCGGGCGTGCTGCTTCTTCTTCTTATTATTTCGTACGGCTGATGCAGATGCAGAGCATCAGCTACGATTTCACGTCCAGGTGGTCGAGCCACCGATGACCGCGTCAGGAGCACGTGGAGTGGTATCGCTGTGATGTCTCCTTCGTATTTGTGGATCGGGGCATTGTGTTGTACGGTTCGTTCTGGAGGACCACAGTCGCACACTGGAGAGTTTTTAATTTCCCATTTGTGCATCAGGTGTCCGCATCTGTCGTGGCTTGTGCGGTGGATGTGGATTAGGGTGGGCCATGAGCTTCGTGGGAGATCAAACCGAGGGATCTTCTGCGTGTTTGGTCTTTCACAAGGTGCGTGCGGGTGTGCTGATGGGAGGGTCGCTCCTTTTCCTCTCCTGCATTGAGTCGGACTGTAAAACTCTCTCCGTGAACTGCCACTTTTGGCGGTCATCGCCCATCTGATGGTGATGTTTTCACGTCATTGTAAATTCTGGTATAATAAATATAATAATAATTTTCAGCCCGGCTTTCCCTAAGTCATGTCAGTCATTGTTTGACCATGCTTCACCACTCTTGTGAAAATGTGTCCCCCACCCCTCCCCAAGTACATGTTCATGAACAACGTCAACATAAATCGCAGGTTTTATTTTGACAAAAAAAAAACCGTGTTTATTTTTTCTCATCTCTAACACTGTTATGGCAGAGTTCCTGAAAACTATGGGTACCTTCAGGATGTTTTCTCTCCCAAGCAACCCCTGTATATTCCAACGAGCCCAAGGGTGCAGTCGCGATAAGCAAGGATGGTTACGCATGGTGCGAAAGAAGTTTCACATACACAAATACACGAGGACACCCTCACCCTCGTGGAATGAAATGTCCTCGCTGGGAAAGACACACTGGGACTGGCAACTCACTTGGTAATGTTGAGGATCTTTTTTTTTGACATGCGTAGGTCATGAGCCCATTGAATCAGTCATTGAGTCAGAAACCGTATTGTTTTACCAGGTGAAAGACCAACAGTTTTTAACTTTTATTAAAGGGGAACCTGGGTAACCACATCAACAACACAAAACAACAATTTGCAAAGTGTCTAAATGATATTGCAGCTCATGACTCTTTTAGAAGGCAAATGCAGGAACAACATTTTTACGCAAAATGTGCACGGAAAAACAATTAAACGTAAAAATTGTAAATAAACCTAGGCAAGCCTCACACACACACGTCCATCAATTAACATCTTGCCAAAGAAAGTTAGCACGCAAGTCGTCATAATAAACTGGTATTGGACAATTCCTTTGTCATGTTTTGTTATGTACAACATAAGAGTAATAACAATTAGGCAATTAAGATTGTAATACCTTACCAACGTGATGTGTATTACACTTACTGTATGTCCAGTATGATATTATTACCTCTGCTGTTCACTTACATTGATTCAACAGCAGCAAGATGAGATTTTATGAATGTTTGTTACTAAATGGGAACCTTCGCACACATGCACAAAGACATAGATTCCCCCTTATATCACCTTTAACATGATTGGAGCAAGTGCTGTAAGCAAGGACCTATTATGGCCGACATGGCACACGAAAGGGTGAGTGGCTAGCAACACACCCGGCCGTCTTTGTCTCTCCCAATGTTGTTATTTACACACCTCACCAGGTACTCATTTAAAGCTGAGTCGACCTAGGGGAGGCCCTTCCGAAACCGGTTCCGATAATCGTCACTGCCTTTGGGCCGTGAGCAGGAATTGAACTCGGGTTGCCGGGTTCGTATCGCAGCGCGCTAGCCACTACACTACCGCTCCTCACCATTCACAGACACACGTGCACACGCCACGTGTACACTCACGCACATACGAACCTGACATTGGTTTCCAGCTGTGAGCACGACACTGCAACGTAGGACTATAACAAAATAACACAGGTCATTAAAATCAGACGCTTACTAGCTGGCCATAGAGCAGCAGCGTGTTATTGTCCACAAATATGCAGCAGTCGGATCGGGACAAGAGCAACTGACAAGCGCCGAGAGAGCTTTGTCCTCTCCATTCGAATCGTGAAAAGGTCACGAGATGGTTTGTCCCTTTGTTGACATTTTTCGTAAAGACCAACGCAGCAGGACTCGGACGAAGTCCACCGAAGCCGGTGTCACACACACGGGCCCTGTCGTCCTGTTGTGGAAGGTCACGGTTAGAATTCTTCTTTTTTCTTCTTCATATCTGGAAATATATATTTGGATACAATCCGCTTTCTTCTGCCAGCCGTATGACGAGCGTGCCTCTGGCATGAAATAAATGAAAAATAATTAAAAAGAAACGCGCGGTGAAAATGTTGGATTCGTAAATTAACTGTTTTTAAAATGTAAGAAACATTGTGTGGTCCCCATTGTAGCTTGTTTTATGGGGAAAAAAGCATTCTAACAGCACAATAGTTTGTATGTGTGGCAGTGTGTAATATGGGGGGGGGGGGGAGGAGGGTGGGATTCTATGATCAGGGAAAATTGAGAATTTTTTGTTATTTATCTTTTTGCGGAGGGATTAGAGAGATACATTTTTTTACAACGCATCTTATGAGACGTGGGGGTGGGGGGGGGGCTAGATAAGGGTATAATTGTCCTGGGGCCTTAAAATCAGGGCTTCCACCAAAAGTTACAAATAAATCCGTTTAAATCGACATGATAGTCCGGTGAGCAAATCTATCATCAGTGTCGATAACATGGAACCGGAATCTCCTGGAACTGCTCTCAAAAATATATTAATTCAATTGATGGCAACACGCGAAACTTACGTCACGCAAAGTGAATGCAAGGATGATGAATGCATGCTAAAGATGGCGACGAACGATGGAGAGAATGCACGTGGGCCTCTAGTCAATTTTATATTCCGGTACCCCAAGTTTCTATCGATGGACCTGAGCGTAGGTGCAAGAGTCGCGGCGTTAATGCCACGAGTTGTATGAACTATTTTTTATTTTATTTTTACCAGGTAAGGCCCCACTGAGCGACATAACTCTTTTTCAGAAGCGACCTGGCGATCACAAATGACAGCTCAAAGAAAGTGGCTTATCACGTGAAAATTTAAAGCAACTGGAGGACCCGGAGAAAAAGCCACGGAACTACGGGGAGAACACGCAAACTCCAAATATACAGCAGCACGCTTCAGGGTCTGGATTAAAAGCCACGTCCTCCTGCATACCAGGTGAGGCAGTTAACATCTCGCCAAAGTGCCACGTCCGCCATCGTGCGTTCGCGACCACGGCCTCCTGGCCGCTTTGCGCCGCCGCCGCCGTTGGCGCAAGTCGGTGCCATCACGGTTTCTCCGCGGGACATCACCGACGAGTCTCCGGCGCTCGTCAGGTGCGTTAGCATTGCGGCGTGGAGACGTGGCGGCGCGGCACAGCCCTTCGCCGGGACCACTGCCCGCTCGCCGGGGAACCACACAGCCCCCGGTCACGACACGTCACTCTGTTGATTTTCGCCGCCGCCGCCGCGTCCTCCCGTATTCCCGTCGTCTCTGTTTTTACGAAGCGCCCGGCCCCGCTCGCCCAGCCCGCTTGCTGATTTATTTATCCGCGGTTTCCGTAAAGTCCCACCGTGCCAGCCGTCCGGCTGTAACCGCCGCTTGAAGCATTGACAAATGACGCGACGTGGCACCGCGTCGCCGTTGCCATCGTATTAATTTGACGGCGCGCTCGCGGATTTTTGCGCGCGCCTGCCTGCTTGTTTATTTATTTCGTTGGCGTGCTTATTTAATTATTTATTCTCTCTTTTTTATATACGTATATACGTGTTTTTTTCTGGGTTTTTTTTTGACATCTAAAAGAAGATCGTCGGCGACGCCTCCGTCGCCGCGTGCCTTGTTTCATCCAGCATTAACAAAAGCTGTCATTTTCCCCTCCGAAGCGACGCTTGTCCGTGATCATTAATCGCGTTGGGTTTGCAATTAGCGACCACGGGGTTTGAAACGGGCCGATTGTCGATGCGCGATCAACTGACATCGCCAGGAACCGTTTACTGCGACTTTCACACATCGCCACGGAGAGAAACAACGTGAAACACAACAAGGGCAACAAAACCCGTGCGGTAAGGGAGTGTGGGAGTCCTCCGTGCCATCAATCTTTCCCTCCTCTGCTCGCGCCGGGCTGCTTGTGTGCGCTGCGCGAGCGCGGTCGCTCTCCAGCGTAGGCCCTGTCTGAATCTGATGTGTTTGCTGGAGATGTTTAAGTGATTTTGTCAGATGCCATCACCACACTCTGCATATTTCCCCAGAAAAGCGAGCGAGCGTTAACCTTGTCAGTGCAAGCGTCCGACGACATTAATCAAAACGAAATTACCATCCCCTCGTTCTCGCTCGCTCTCTCTCCGCCACCTTCCGCCCGTTCTATTCCTTTGCGCAAAAATTTGTTATTGCCGACCTTGGAGTTTCGCATTAACAGCTGCTCAAGGCTTCCTGACTCCCCACTGCTGTTTCAGAAGTCAACGTTTCAATTGGTTCTTTCGCAGCTTCTGGATATTGGGGTCCTTTTCGATAGGCGAAGCGATTTTTTTTCTTAACGTACTGATAAATGTATTCTTTTTATTTATTTCGAAACAGAATAAAAGTTGATTGAATACCGAAAGTAAAAATGTTGCTGCTACTGTTTAATGCATGTGGACCTTTAATCAGTCCTAATTCAATTTGACTCAGGTTTTGTAATTATTTTTTTCTTTTGCAGAAATTACATGTTCCTTGCTGCCTTATTTTAAATTGGCTAATGCCAGACTAAAATATACATTTCATTGATTTCCATTAACAAAATTGACATTTGCCAATAGTTGTCCTCATATAACTTACACACATGTTTGTATTGCCGTGCGGACGTTTATAGCTGCTGCGGTAATTATTTGTATTCGCACTTATTCCTAAAAACATTAGTGAATATTTCTTATTATTTAATATTGTACACTGATTGAAAACAAATCTTTCCATTGCCGCTTTGAAATCATTTTATTTTCAGTCGTGTGTCAAATATACACTTATAATAAAAATAAAAACAATGGCAGAAGTTGTTCATTATTGAAAACATCAAATCTGTATAATAATAATAATGAGGATGACATTATTATTATTGTTATCATTACAATGGGGGGAGTGGTGGCAAAGTGGTTAGCTTCCTCTTCACCAACTTGCACTCACCAGTGCGGTGAAGTCGATATGAACAAATCTCATGACAGACCTTGCATAGGATATCCTTCATACAGCAGTACATTGCGTATGTTATTATTACATATCATTACAATGGTGATGGGGCGGTGTTGCAGCGGTTAGCGCACCACCGCACTGTGAACCTGGTGACCCGAGTTCGATTCCTGGCTGCGGTTATCATCATTGGCTCGGTATATCTGAACAGACCCTTGATCTTCCTTCAGCAACTATTAACGATTAAACCCATTCCTGTTCTCTTGAGTTCTCACTTGCTAAACAAAATAAACTTTGAAACTTGAATCCGCATTGACCAGCATGGTGAGGTATGGTCAAATAACCCCCATAAATCAACACGGCATGGGGAGGCCATAAAGCAGCATTGGAATGACAAAGGGCTTGAAATTATCATTTCAGTTTATACGGTCGAATCAATGCAGCAGAGGAGAAGGAGCGATCTCAGCACGCCCGCACGCGTCTAACCCCCTTACATTCACATCATTTTATCGTGACGATTTACATTTAATCTATTTCTGTACAGAATGTTCAAATCGCCAAGCCGTAAGTATTATTCAACGGCGTAATTGTCGAGACAAGCTCTCGGCCGGCACGGGTCACCTTTTAACATTGAGCTTGCTCTGTGCGCGTGTACCCCCTGCACGCTTTCTCGATGATTAATGACGCTACTTGGGTATGAATTGACGGGACTGCCCCCCCCCCCTCCTCAAAGGTGACATCGCTCCCACGGTCAGCTCCCCCCAAAATGATTCAGCGTTCTTCCCCCCGCCCAACACCACCCACACACGCGGGAGACCGTGGCCGTTTTGGAGCCGTCGCCTGCCTTCGCGTGGTGGTGGCGGGCGGGCGTGCGGGGGCAGGAGGAGGGGGGTATCCGCTGTTTGTTTTGCACTCGGCTGTTTTAAATTCTGCAGGAGGTTAGCGCCGGAAGATGGATGAGTCGGAGAGCGCTTCACCCCGTGGGAGGCGTCCGCCGTCGCTGGCCCCTCCACCTGTTCCGCCCCCCCTCCCCCCATACTACCCCCACCACCCCTCCCCCACCCATCCCCATCGCACCCATCACCTCCATCACGACCCGCGGAGCTAGGGCAGCACGGGGTCGGAAGGTCACCGAGGATGGGGGGGGGGGGCACGGGCGGGGATGGGGAGGAGAAGGTGCATTGATAGAGAGTCCGTGATTGAGAGACGGCGGTCAGAGATCACGAACGAGATGCACTTGAAAAAAAAACATTGGCGGACATCGCAAACACGAGAGTGGCGAAAGTGACTCTCTGCTCAGATGACAATTTGTCAGTGCTCATCCCCATCGGACAGTGGTGGTAATTCCACATTCCTATTACGGGCCCCAGTATGGATGCAGGGCTACGATCGCCCCTTATTTGTTTTGAATACTTTTCACAAAAATGGCATCTGTTGCATGACATGGTTTGTGGCTGTATGTTGAGTAGCCTCACGTCGCTGCGATTAAAACATTTTGAACGCGTATAAAAGTATTTATTTTAAATGTTAATGGCTGCTGCACGCAACGCTTATCGCTGACCTACATCTGCCCAAACCATGCCACTTACACTCTCGAGGCCATCTTTGTTGGGTTTCAATGAAAAATGTATCACAATTACGTACGGTGCACTCTCTATGTGCGCATTCTAATTAACATAAATTGCCGCTTTGGCGAATTAAATGGAGTTCCAAAAAAACGGAAAAATTAGCTTGTCACATGAAAGCTTGATTAATCTTTTCATCGGGAAAAAATATATAAATTTATTCATTTATCGTAATTCATAAATGGAAATGTTACCTTCAACCTTTAAAGCATGTATAAGCATGATTCTGCGCCGTGGCTGCACATATGCATGAAATATGTTTATTAAAACAGCCTATTGGCTTGGTTTAACACATAGGACTTTCGCGACCAATATCATCCATAATAGTGGGTTTTTTTTTTGGGGGGGGGGTTAGATCGCGTAAATATATGAATATTGTGTCGTTAAAACCCACCACCACCCAACACAACCAACTCATAAGGGTTGTCACGTTAACACAGCGTGCCTATTGGCTTTCCAGACCAACATTACACGGCAGCAATTGTTTAAGCAAGTAAACTGTGGGATAACTTCGATCTTCGGGGTTTCATCAGCAGAGTCGGGCTTGTTAAACAAATGCTACTCGGTTAACCAAACGTGGTTGGTAAGGGCACTCTATTTAAACGATGTGGCCCTGTTCATTATACATACGCAATATTGTATTTAAACTGAGGTGGCTCAGCAGTGTGGCTCGCTGCACAGTACGAGGTTGAAGGTTCAAGCCCTGGTTATGGGTTGCCTAAGCCCATCATCTCTCCGGGAACAGAACAAATTCGCACCGCTTTGTAGGGAAGTCAACAGCGGTTTGTCCTACGGATAGACCCAGCACTCATTTGAGCAGGAAATCACCTTCGACTTAAGAAAAAAAATCCAAACTCATTCCGGGTTGTTTACGGAGTGTTACGGGCCATCGGCAAATGTAAGCAGAGCTCCCGTTCCTCGCGTGTCACGGCGTCGTGAATTGGTTTCGAGTGAGCGGGACCACCTCGGCTCCGTGCGCGTGACCGCACCTCGTTGCGTGCGGCGCTCCCGCCCGCGCGCGTTCTCGTTGCAAGCTCGGCGTCGCCGCCGCCGCCGCCGTTGATCGTTTTGCGAGGAATCCCGTGCCACGAGATGCGTCGGAGGCGATGGAGGAGGAGGAGGAGGAGGAGGGTGTGCGGCGAAGAGTGTGCCGGCCGACGTCAGGTCGGGGTGGTGGGCTTTGTGGTCACGGCCGTGACAAGCCCTGTCTCTCCGATAACAAGCGATCGCGCGGCAAAACGACAGAACGGAGGGCTTGTTAACAAAAACGGGCCGACAGGGCAGGCGATGGAGCACGCGGGGGGCTCGCGGAATGACGGTGGGATGGGCGGGGGGGGGGGTGCAAGGGCGGATGGGTGGAAGGGAGGTGAGGGTTGGCGGCTAGGTTGGATTGAGGTAGGGGGAGGGGGCGCTGTCGACATGGCATGGGGGGGGGGGCATCCAGGGGGAATGATGAATGTCTCGGGCGATGTCACACGATGGCTGTGCCGCGCGACTGTCATTGCGCGGCGGCGGAGGTGGCACACGGCGGAATTGGCGTGCCACGCTCGACACCCCGCGTCCACGTGCGAGCTGGGTTCACGCGGGGAGAGGTTCGCGCAGGGTCTGCACGTGGGACCGGGGATGAGTTATTGCACGGGGTGGGGGCGGGGGGGGGCGTTCACCGCAGGAGGCCACGAGAGCGCCGCGTCTGATTTTCCGCGGCCCTTAACTGTCACGATTATATATATTTTTTGCCACTTATTTAAGTGTCGTTTAAACGAGTGGCAACGAGAGTACATTTTTTTTTAATTCCCTTATTTATTTAGTCATCAGACTGACGCTGTCGTACGCACGGCAGGTTGCATATTTTAACAGCGTTGTTTATAGCGTTGCGTTTTCTTGCTGTTCTGTGTGTTTGACGGTGATACTTAATTCCCAACCACCGCAAGTCGTAAGAAAGTCAAACTAAATATATTCCCACGTGCTCACCGCTAATATTGAAACTACACATTGAGGACCATCCTGTGGATTGTGCATGATAAAAAAAATGATGGCGATAACAATTATGAAGATGAACGTAAATATATTAGTTGGTCTTTCGGTAAAGCCACGTAGATAGAATAAGAAATACAATAATTATAATAACTTGTATTATTTTTCTCTCTACGTGGCTTCACCGAAAGACCCAAAGAATATGATTTCTTGCAGTCACGAAAGCTTTAAGTCAATAACTTAAATATGTTTAATTATCCTTCGACAATGCGATTGAAACATTATCAATCGTGCATAAACGTGGCCTATTCACCCACTCACCCCTGCCATAAGAATGTAGAATTTCCACCACTCGCCCGGGGCTGTAAACAGGAGATGAGTAGTGCCTGATCATTTTGACTTTGACTTTAATCTTTCGACAGGAGTGCACGATTGTTAACATGCTTTCACGCGTGTGTGTGTGCACTTACACACATGCATGTTGGGGAGCGGTGGCGCAGCGGTTAGCATGTTGCGCTACGAACCCGGCGACTCGGGTTCGATCCCGCTCACGGCCAACACCAGTGACGAATGATTATCTGAACCGGTGCTGGGCCTCCGCTAGCTCGACTCAGCCTGAAATGAGTACCTGGTGCGGTGTGTAAACATCTCAGCTGGGGAAGCAAGGGTGACCGGGCGTGGTAATGGCCACCCACCACCTCGTGTACCAGACCGGCCTTCGTCGTGTTTCACTAACAGCACTTGCCCCAACAGTCTGTTAAGGCTACACCGGGGATCTTTGCCTTGAACACACGCACGCACGCACGTCCATGCAGTGCACACAAGGCTGTCAGCCCACGCTTTTTTTTTTTACAAATGAATTTTTTTTTTTGCCGGGCGCGTTATATATAATTTCTTTTTTTTTCGCTGAGAAACAAAGAGTCTGGGCATCTCTTCCCCTGCCAACCCCCCCCCCCTCCCAACGTCTCCCCTTCCACAACACCCCCCTACTGCCTTCCTCTTTTCCTGTTGGCCCACAAGTCAACTCTAACCCCCAACCCCGAAAGGTATATATCAGTGCAAGTTCAGGAATGGGGGTCGCGCGGACTATCACCAAAGAATCTGTGCAAAAAAAAACAAATAAATATTCCCACAGTTGTCACGTGCACCATATACGCTGGCCACATGGGTCTGGCTTGTTTGTTTTTTGCATTCGTGCAATCTTACTAAGAGTACATAATGTTAGCATTAAGTTACAACTACGGAGCCTGTTTTTTTTTATGTTTTACCAGTATTAAGATGACTAAAAGAAGAAGAAAATACGGTTTGGCAATAATACCGGAGGTGTTAAGATGTAAATAAAAAATACAACAATTACAAGGCATCCAGTTGTGCATTAATCACACATACTTGTGGTAAAACATGCAAACGAATATACGCTTTGATAATAATGTATGCCAAACAGTTTCAGAATTGTTTTCGCCTGGACGGTGCTTGAATGGGTGACCGCTATGCACAATGCATGGATGCTGTAGATGCTGTGTGCATGCACGTATGTATGTTGAACTTATTTCACACCGTACATGGCCAATCGTGCAGATCGGAGGTGCAGGGGAAGGACAACAAACTGAACACAAAAAGCAGTTCTTAAAAAAAAATAGTTTTCAAGTGACGTGATTTGAAACTGCGTAGCTCTGGTGGCTTCCTAAGGTATGCATGTTGAACTTCTTTCGCACCGTACATGGCCAACCGTGCTAATCGGAGCTGCGGCAAGGCAGCAGTGTATTTCGCCCTCGACCTTCACGAACAACCCGCACTGATCAGCGTGGTGAAGTATAGCCCAATAAATACCATAATCAACGACCCGTACGGCATGACGAGGCGATCATCCAGCAGTCGACTGCCTCGCGGTCAGTGTTTGTGCATGCGCACGTACATGCACTCGTGTACGTGATTGTTATTTTAAGCAATAGTACGGGTTTCGTGTACAGTCGGTGCCAATACGTGTATATAAGAAATCCTGGAAATCCAATAAGCAATGTTTTTTTTAGTGTAACTTGTGCTGACCATGGACTGACCTGTCAGTCAATTGTCTAAAAAAAAAAACGCCCCGGCAATAATGATGTTTTATTAATAATAAAGCAGTATTGACTCTTGGCCATGCATAGCGGCACTTAAGAGGGAAGACACCACATTTTGCGTCTTGCCAACGTTAACAATATTGGACTCCACATGCAACAAGTTTTGTATCGTCATTTTCATCGTATTGTAGCACGTACATGTGGCACAGCGCTCCTTGTCAATGCACTCGTTGACGAGGTGCCTCCCTACGCCGTGCCGATCGTGACGGTTTGTTTGACCATACTTCACCACGCTGGTCAGCGCGGGTTAGTGAAGCCGGAGAGCATAGATGTGGGTGCATAGTGCAGTACGACAATGCATTTGACGTACTGCCGCCTCGTGCCCACAAACGCAGCCTCGCAGCAGCCTCGAGCCGCCTGCTATGTGCCTGGTGTAGCCGCCCAGGTCTCCGCTGTCCAGGCTGCGGCCTGCTGAGCTTTCCGAGATCTGACGAAGGCCTATTGCAGTGCGGAGCCAACTTTGGACTGTGGCATCGGCTTTTGTCACCTTCGTCGAAACGCGTTCATATATTTCGTGGTGCCTTTTATGAAGCCAATTTAATGCGATGCATTTAGTTGAGCATCCCCAAATTATGGTAAAAATGTGCCAATTATAGCAAAACTTATTATTAGCACTAAGCTGAATTGGATTTTTTTTTTATTTTCTATTTTTTTATCCTATGCCGCTGTAATCGTTGCTAGCCGTGTTCTATCCACTGCTGGATGAAGTTACTCCACGACGTCACCCATCACTCACAGTCCTGCGATGCCCCATCCTCTCTCTGGCGTGTTCTCGCCTTCGGTTGGCAATCCACGACCAGTCTCGTCTAACAGACATCGTAACCCCTAGCAATAGCAGCTCCTGCCCAAGCCCACTGACTCTTCTGACAGTCGAGATGATGTATAATGTTTAACATTTCTTCTCTGATCCGCGCGTTCTTTTTCCTGTGTTTCTCAACGCTATTCCCAGCATGTCTCTCTACAAGCTTCTTCATGCACCTATCTGCTATTGTTCAATGTTTTACTTCGAAATCAGATTCCATGTTTTTGATCCATATATTACGTTTATATGTAGGACTTTTTTCGCACCGTACGTAGCCAACTGTGCTAATCGGAGGCGCGGGGGAAGGATAACAAACTGATGACGAACGCTTGTGTTGCGATCGAAATCTCGTAGTTTTTTGTTATTTTCTTTGAACTTATCTAAGTTGTTTTACCGAAAGACCCAAAGAATATAAAGAAATTAGTTTTCAATATAGATTTAAAAGTACATAGCTCCAGTGGCTTCCTAAAAAACCGAATGAAGGTAGTCAACTTTTTATGGGCAGGGTGGCATATTATTTTTCGCTATAAAATCAAATTTTTGGAACCAGTGCTCAGCTTTGAAAACAGCTTCCACATTTATTACGATTATGCAACAAGCAAATACTGAACATTCTTTACCACCATCATCATTAACAAACACCAGCCAATAACTGGAAAATCTATATATATCAACAAAGCCGCAAACTGTAAATATTTGGCAGCGTTTATGCATGATAGCGACGTCGGAGTATTTCCAGCCTACGCTTTTGCCCAGCGCGCTTCAAATGATAACAATGCAAGCGGTGTAAATTTTAAATTACATTCCCATTGCGTGCCGTGGTCGCAGTGATTACCAAGGTCTGTTTTGCAGCAGACTTGGGCCTTGGCGTTATGGTTCTTGACCCTATTACATTACCAGTAATTTCATGGAGATGAGAAAGGAAGAAAAAAAAACACTCCCCTTCCAAGCACCATGCATCCAGTAATGTACATACACATATATCCAGATACGCACTTATTCAAGTGACTACATGCACTTGTTCATACTTATTAAAGACCGCCATATATTTAAGAGTTGCATTAACATTTAAATAAAGCCCGGCTACTGAAGGGTGGAATTCTATATACTGCACACACAACAACAAAAACCCCCTCCCGTCTTGTGCCACCTTTATTTTATTTATTTACATCTGTTATAAAAATGAAATTAATCCAACACCATGGCGAGGGATTTCAATAAGTATAAAGGATTTTTTTTGTTTTACTGTGGAGCTACAGTCTCCATTGTTAGGGTCACAGAGCAAGAGCGAGGGAGTACAGGAGGTAA